AGACAGGGCTTTCATATTTATACATCTGCAATCCCTGTAACAAGACCTTCCCAGATGTATTAAATTTTTTTACCATGACCTTGAAGTGTCTTTTCTAAAATTTTAACCTTGGTCATAACTTTTGCTCCAGAAAGGACAGGTCTTTTGATATTTTTTCACATGTGCATTACATGAACAAGACCTTTCTGTGAATGTACAATGATTTATTTTTGACCTCGTGACCTAGACCTTGAAGTTTGACTTTTAAAAATTTTAACCTTGGCCGTAACTTTTGCAACAGAATAAGCTTCTTCAAAAATATGTTTTCAGACAAAACAGGACACACTATTGAAATACAGTTAAAATTTGCCTAATCATTGAACCCAAACAATAAGACCTCCAAAAGAGGGAACCAACATTCTCAGAATTTGCTTGTTTGTTAGCTCTACAGGTCAGAGACCAGAAGAGCTTATGCGATAGTAAATTGTCCGTCCTCTGTCCGTCTGTCTGTCTGTCTGTAAACAATTTTTCAAAATGCCACTATTTCTACACTTTTGGTCTGATTTCAATATATCTTGGCACACAAGTAGACTACACTAAGATACATAATTCTCTTTATCTGTTTCTGATTTCAATGAAAGGCGTTGCCATGGTAACTAAAAAAAAGAAATTTCTGTGAAATACTTTCAAAACACTACTTATCCTACAGTTTTAATCTGATATCAATATATCTTGGCACACAAGTAGAATACATTACGATACTTAATTCTGTATATCGGTTGTTGATTCCGATGAACGGTGTTGCCATGGTTACTAAAAATAGAAATTTCTTTGAAATACTTTTAAAACGCTACTCCTCCTACTGTTTTGGTCAGATTTCAATATAACTTAATATTTAAGTAGAATACACCGAGAAACATAATTTTCTTTAATATTTTTTTGATTTTGATCTATGATGATGCCATGGTTACGAAAATTGAAATTTCTGTAAAATCCTTTTAAAAGGCTCTTCCTTCTCCTACAGTTTTAGCCTGATTGCAATAAATCTTGCCACGAAAAGAAACTAAACCAAGGATAATCATTTCTATTGATTGCTTTTGCAAGTTTCACTTCCAAGTGCTACTTTTCTCTTTCTTTATTAGAGGTACTAACCAGCAGAGTTACAGTCTCATCAGAGACTTCTGGTTTTAAATTTGCAATAAATTGTACGAATCAGATATGTTTCTGAACAAAAAGCGATTAGTATCACATTGTAAATATGGTAAAATCTGTTAAAGCATCTTCAGCATTCAAAATCATAGTGAACAACTTTCTTTTCCAGTATTTTTCAATGTTTTTCGCTTCAGTTAACATATGCAAAAAAATGACAATTGGAAGACACCTCCTCCTCCCTGATAAAAGCAGAAAACCTTATATGAAACATGTACAACAACAGTTATGTTAGTTGTGTTATTATATTCAATTTCTAAGTGACAATAAAAACAGAAATTTCTGCTTTAATATGGGGGAGGGGGTCTCCAAAATTTTGCAAGCAGTGTTTCAGTGTGAATATTTACTGGTTCCATTTTATAATTAATCAATCAAAAGGCAAATAACACTTTTTTTTAACAAATATTTCCACATTTTATATCATATAAGAAATATAAGTTGGTCAAACACAGCTTAACTTGAAAAACTGCATAATATCTATAGATAATCAAATGGACTTGGAAACAGAGGATGAACAAACTCTCATAAGAAAATATATTGGTCTTTGATATGATGTCACATTTTCCTCTGCCATTTGGGCTGACCACTTGCAGACAAGTGTACAGTATCATTACACAAATCACTTATTATAAATTTCTTTTACAACAAAATGAATACTTAGTCTAGCATTTTCAAAATTGAAATGCAATTGCTTATGTTAAGAGCTTTTATATGACAATATAGCACGGGGTCCATGTCTCTTGGCTTGCAATTGCTTCGAGGAAACAAACCTCCAAGAAACACAGTAAATGAACTAATTATGTATATTTACAAACTGTATAGTTTCTTTTTAAAAAAATGGACAAAATACCAGGGTATCATACAGCAGAGATATCCGTTCTTCCAATTTGTAAATAAATATTAATAGTTTGGACAGAATGCCGATATAGTCTGTAAAACCATGTCCCTAATGACATATACACAGTAGCAATGACTTATACTCTGTAGCTATGGCATAATTATACACTGTAGCTATGACATATACACTGTAGCTATGTCATATACTCTGTAGCTATAGCATTTACACTGTAGCTATGACATATACACTGTAGCTATGACATATACACTGTAGCTATTTTCCTTCCCGGCTTTCCTCATAGAAATTTTTCCCCATAAAATTGGGGAAATATTTTCCTAGAACAAAAATATAGGCCTTTATGGTCTATCAATTCGTGAAACAAAGGTAAGCTTTAAATGTCTTGGGTATAATGGTTCGATATTGTTTTATCTGAAAGATTAGACAAAAAATATGTTAATTAATCAAAGTTCTTTTTATCAAGACATTTTTTATTACCATGTTCCTCAAGTTCACACACAATTTAGTACAGAATGTTTGTGAAACGAAAGAATTTAAAATTATATATACATGTATGTCACAAGCTTTGAGGGTTTTTTTTTCAAGGTCAGCGTATTTTTTGTCAACTGTTGTCACAGAGGAGCTGGGATATTTTGGTATATTACACTTTCACCTTTGTATCTACTTCAAAAGACAAACTCAATTTTTATCATAAGAAAAGTCTTTTAGACATACTTCTTCACATTTTAATCATAAACTAATAATTGAATATATAACACTATCAAACATTGGTAAAGACGTCTGTATTTTTACACATATTTTATTTTTTAACCAGATTACAAAGAACGATAACTCAAGTAGCATTTTTGATGAAGTTTCACAGTCGAGTTTGCAGTTTTATGTCCCTTACAAAATTTTAATGTCGGTGAAGGGCTTCAAAGTTAGACCTTTACTCGGCACTCAGGGTCATTGAGCATTGAGGATCTTCTAGCGTGCAAAACGCCTGCCGTGACATGGGGCTCGGTCTCATCTGACAACTTGTGTCAAGCTCTTGGCGAAGGGACAGTTGCTACCTATTTGGTCTGTCGCGACCGGGACCTAGCTTCCGATTATAGAGCGAGGACTATTTACTGAACGAGCAACCGTGATGGCATCGAAAGATTAATGATGTATTTAGTTAAAAAAAAAATAACAAGGAATATTTTAATAAAGGTTATATAGGGCATAAAATACATGTAGTTACTGAATTCTTGGAGAACCCTACATGATTTGGAGAACATCTCGTCATGTACTTTCTCCTAAAAAATACTTTTGAGCTCCTATTTAATCCCTCTCCCTACATCAAGGTCAAGATGAATACATAACATTTTAATATTAGATAAAGAAAGAAAAAAGTTGAAAATGTACCAAAAATAAGAAAATAAGCAAAATTACAGAGAAAAATGAGCTAAATTACAGAGAAGTGCCGGTTTGGAAATATTCAAAAATGTTACATTTATACATGATAGTGTTTATATAAATTATTTTATTGGAGCTTCTGATAAACATTGATTATATACATGTAAGTTTGCCATCAAATTACTTGCATTATTCCTTAACTGACAATGTATAATTTTGTGCTTTCTAAGTCCAAAACGAAAAAGAAGGTTCATTACGTTTTATACAAAAGTAGGATTTCAAAAGACTCTCGAATAAAGATATTACAGGAGCATTTTTAATATAATCTGACAAAAATTCCCATTGTTTAACTGTTGAAGGAAGAAACTTGCCATATAGGATGTTGTTCTAATGTTATAGGAATTTTGAATTGTACATCACTGGTTCTGAGATTGTAAGAATGACTTGATGGGCGATAAGGTAGTATCTCAAATAGCTCAAGGCTCAAATACTGAGGTGAATAACCATTAATAAATTTATAAAACATTATTAACTCAAGTATTTTTCTCCTCGTTTTTAAAAGATCCCATCCTAATTCTTCATACAATTTTGAACAAGAAGAGTTACATCTCAATCCAGTGATAATTCTACCTGCTTCAATTTGTATATCTTGTAAAAGTTTGGAATCATTTTCAGAACAGTTGTCCCAAACAACATCAGAATATTCAAGTACTGGTCGATTAAATGCAAAATTAATCTTAATTAACATGTTTTACGTGTAATCTTTTTGACTTTCTAAGAATCTTTAATCTTTTGTAGCTTTTTCATGAATTAATTGCATGTGCGATGTCCATATAGTATCTCTTTGAAAATGTAGACCCAGGGGAGTATGAGATATTTTCGGAATAATGTCTGGGCTATCTTCCAAATTTGATAGGAGGATATACAGTTGTACAATATTTTTTTTCTACTAAAATTTACATTAATAGTTTTGTTTAGATTAAAATCAACCAGCAATTTCTTCGACCATTTATCAATATGTTCTAGATCATTTGTAAGAGATTGTGCTATGTTGATATAAACTACATGTAGGTAAAATCAGCATGTACAGCTTTTTATGATATAATTTTCCCAAAGTCAAAAAGCAGTTTCCATTCAATTAGATGTTGATATGTCATTCAATGTAAAGAATTTTTTTCAGACAAAAAACATTTTGATTATATCCTCTATCCTGGCTATCAAAACGAAGAGAATTACAAAAATTTCGTTAATTATTATTATTATTATTATTATTTTTTTTTTTTTTTTTTTTTTTTTTAGAGTTTTTCCAGTTTTATGTTCTTTTTATGGAGGCTATCAACATAAAATTTAAACAAGAACACAGTTATCTTTCTTATGTTATACCCTGTTTTTCACAAGAGGCTTAATATTCGATACCTTTCTGGTTAATGAAGATTTGTATTTATTTTCAATTTTTATAAACTGATACAAGTCTGATTTAATGATCTGAGGACTGTCTAAAAAAATAATCATTTTTTAAAATTTTGCCTCTTGGTTAGTCATGCTGATGTTATTTAAAATCAATACAGGAAAACTGCAATTTTCTTTTCAAAATATTTATTTACTTGAACAAACAAATAAATCTGAAAATATCTAATATTCTATATCAAATAATTATATTTATTATGAACTTAAATTGAATATTTACAAATACACATATACATCTGTACATGCAGCAGTATTTGGTGAAGTCGCTATGGAGTCACCTTGATATATCACAGCTCAATTCATATATCACATATATCAAAAATACTGATTATACATGTAGGTAATTTTACCTCTATTTCGGAGCAAATGTACAACCACTATTGTGACACTCTAGATTAATACAACATTCAGTATGTTCTTTCAAATGATTTTGAACACCTTACATCAAGAACTATATAGTAAGCATTGCACTAAAATTTAATGTTAGGAAACTTTTTGAGATTAGGAAAATGGTACTAATGCACAAAAAATACTTTAACAAACGATAAAGCTAAGCGCAACTTTTGTCGGTAAAGAACACGCATAAACACATCCAAAACGTCAGAATACTACACACCGCCATGACACTTAGACTACTATACCATCCAGCAATGTGGAAAAAATAACTTTGGTGTGAAAATTAATCACTCCAGAATAATTTCAGAAGCAGGGTCACTATGCTACAAATGAATATATCAGCGATAGCAGGTCATATTTTGTTAGATTATTGTTTTACTGCTTCTTTTGTTTCGCAGAATAGGCATTTATTCTTCTGGTCCCAGCAGGCACCCATTTGCTTGAAGTTTGTTCTCGAGTCAAGGGCGGTAACCCCTCCTTAGCTGAAGAACTTTTATAAGAAGGAACAGACGCTCTAACAGACAGTTGATTCTTTGAAGCGTTTCCGTAATTTTGTATAGAAATGGGACCACGTTCTGCTTCACGCGGTGTTTTTGAATTCCTTATCAACAAATCTTTGATGTCCCTAACATCGTTGGATATTTCTGTATTCTGTTCACGCAAAGTTCTCATTTCCTCATACTGAACTCTCATGACTTCGCGCATGCGTTCAACTTCTTGTCGCATTGCTCGAGAAGCTTTCTCGAGTTCCTCCCTGAACCTAGAACTCATATCACTTTTTTCTAATTCAAGTACCTTTATTCTGTGGCTCTGTTTTTCTACTATAGTTCTTGCTCGGTGTAGCTCTTTTTCCATTGTATTAAGTTTATCCTTTACGGACACTAATTCATGTTTCAGTCTCCGAATTTCCTCATTTTGTTCTTTATATGCACCATTATTCTCTAAATGCTTCTTTTCATCTTTAAGTTTATGAACTTTTCTGGACAGTTCTTCTGCGTAGTCCTCCGTTTCTGTAACTAGAGTGCGTAGTTCGTCTATTTCCTCTATTTTAGACAAAATTTGTGAATCTCTTTCTTCTTTAACATTCTCCAATTCCTTTATTTTATGTTCGCGATCTCTGACTGCTGTTTTCAACAATTCTATCTCTGTTTGCTTCCCTCTGATTACTTTCTCTTTGTCTGTGATGATCTTTTTCTTCTCATTTTCTGAATGTTTGGCATCTACATCAATTTTTAGCCTTAAAGCATCTATTTGGGTTTCCAGCGTTCGGTTCATGTTAATAACTGTTTCTAATACACCCATTGCCTCTGGCGGAAGCTGAAGACTTCCAACTGGTTCCCCAAAATCGGTAGACGTGTTTCCGGTGGAACCAGAGGAAGGCCTCGAAGAAGATGGCGGCGAGGTTACCTCAATCGACACGCCTCCCATCGTTTCTTTTTCAGGGGGCCTTGGGGAGGCTGACAGAGACTTTCCTTCGATTCCTAACTTCATATCATCCTGTAATAAAACAAATATCAATAACTGAATAGAAATGATTGTTGCAAGATTAAGAAATTGAATTAATACCGGTAATAAGAAAAATGCTTCATTTATTTAGATATAGCAGAGTAAAAAGTATGTAAATGCAAAAAAGCATAATGTTGTACTTAAATAAGTGTTGCAATTTTGGCAAAATTATTTTTAATTTATAAAATAAAATTGAATAAATAGGAAGGATATAGATTTAGGAACGTCTTTTTATTGTTTAGCATTTAATGATTTGTTTCATCTCTATTGCAAACAAGAAGTGGAGATATTTTAAATGTAATTTAATAACCGAGGCAGAGGCATAAAACTCACCTTTTGGCCCGTTTTTTGTGGCATAATGGTGCCACCACTTGCAGCCATTTTACAAATCTAAAACGATTAAACACAATATTGACACACTTACTCTAAGTCTAATTATACAACTTATGCAAATAAAAAAAAAGATTCGGGTCACGTTGGTATGAACCTTTGTTTCTAAACAAAGTAAATTGTTTATAATGATCTATTGAAGTGTAAACAATATGAATAAAACCTACATGACGCATCTTTGAAATTTACATTATCTGCTACGCTATCAGATTTCTTTTGTACAAGATGAATCTTTGGTCTCAATATCTTTTGTGCGAGATTTCTTACAAATGATGATTCCGTGTTAAAACGCAAATGGCCATTATTATTAAAATCATGTCAGTGATAAAACAGGACATTTTAAACATGACCAAAAATATAGAAAGAAATATTAAAATAGTAGATGACTTGGCACTATTTGCGATGATTCCATGGAAATTTATTTTAATCGGAACAAATTTAATGTAATTTTGCCACAGGGTATAAACATCACATGAAGTTGTAGAGAATGTTTATTATAGTTTTATAGTCCTCATGTTAACAGATAAATACACTGACATTTGGTTTGCTTTCATTTCTAAAATACTAGTAAATATATAAAGTAATATAAGCTTCCTTTTAATGTAAGCTAAAATATTGTCACGAATTATCGATACACGTGCAAACTTATGTAACTGTTTTTTTCTCATTACACAACATTTCAAGAAAATTGTCTACGACATTCATGCACCTGAACTTTTAAGATCGCTAGGTTCATGTACTATTATTATTGTATTAATGACAAAGAGAAAGAACGGAAAATACAATTTATATAAATTTTTAAAAAGTATAACGAACTTTATCAGTGTCATTGTTTGTAGGAGAAAATAGTGCAAGGTTAAACGATAAAAAAAATACTTTGTTCTTCAATATATGTAAACAGAATGAGTAAGTGGTGAATGGTGGTGAAAGATACACTGTAGCGCACTTTAGGGGGAAAGGGCACCTCAAACTAGTTTTCAGTCCAAGCACAGACAAATACTTAGGAAATTCTGCCTAGTGTAAAGGACAAGGTATGGTAATGGCCGAATCTGACACCTTATTTGATGTAAAAATCAGAAAACAGTTAAAACTGTGATAATTTGTAGTTAAGCACTTAAAATGATGCTTGTTTTAAAACCAGCACTAACTTCGATTCAAAGCTTACACGGAGGCCACAAGAGGGTGCCAAATTAGGACATTTTCCCGAATTTCCTCAATTCTGGTGGAATTTCGTCAAATTTGAGATACTTTTCACTCGGGAAACATAGAGCACAAGCTTGCCTATCTGAGATTTTTATACATAAGATGCATCTGATACTAGTGTATGAAATATATAAATTTGGTAGATAGGCAAGCTTGTGCTCTATGTTTTCTGAATCAAAATGAGCCGTAAAATCGATTAAAATTTGCATAAAAATGAGAAAATTCGGAAATTGACATATTTTGTGACCTTCCTGTGACCTCTGTGTATCCCATAAATTAGAACCAATACTCATTTTGTGGCAGGGGTGACAACAGGTTTTTAATGATAAACTATTGCAACATTCTAAAAGACACCCCAAACCAGGGGCCAAAAAGGGGTCTTAGCCTATCTTGTCCTTTGTTTTATTACTGTTTTGTTAAACATTATGGAGTTAAAAATAAAAGCCCAAACATTAAATGTATTCTCTAGGCCAACTTAAAGAAATTGTTCGATTTTCAGTAGTTCAACTGAAATATATAACATACAATGTATTATATGTTAAAAAATTACAATTAAAGGATTCCATATTTAATACCTGAATGAAACTAAATCCCAGACTTGGTATTCTGCAAGGACTATAATATATTTATAGAATCCCCTTTTTTGAAATCTTGTTATGTATGCACACATCGCAGATACATGCCCGCAAAAGATTGCTGAAAATAGCTATTTGAATAAGTTGTATTTAACGATCACAAATTTGACCATTTACATTAGATAGATTGTAATTTAAGACATTTGGTTGCTGTCTGATATTTTATAGTTCAGTCAAACCCTGGTGATATGAAAACCACAAATTAATTATTTTGTTTTCTGAATGAAAATCGCTAATGGTATAACATTAAACCAAGGATAATCACTAGAGGCCGAACATTTATTTAATGATTTAATCTATATAAACACTAAAAGACGGGTAATAATGGATGGTGTATGGAAATTCAATCATTTGACTCAATTTGCCAAAAGTGCAATAATATGTTTGCAGTATGTCTCTGACATAATTGTGTAGATTAACTATAACCTCAAATAAACACGACCATTTCCTCTCGTTCTGTTGCAAAGTCTAGGTGTAAGACAAGCGATTGAAAACCAATGTCTTCACTTATTTTTTCCCTTGACCCTTACTCATAAATCTTTCTTAATTCGATCGCTAAATAAATTCATTTTTTTTTATCAATTTGACAAATTACTTGTTCTTTAGCTAGTGTTGTATAAGAAACTAAAAAAAAAAAAATTAAAAAAAAAAATCTGACTTTGTGCTTGGTATCACAAATATTGATTTCTTTTTAAATCAACCTGATAAAAAGTTTATAAACTTTTTTCAATTATTGCAAAGGTAAAAATCAATATTTTGTGCCTCAGTAGAGTTCTAAGTACAACACCTTTCAACCTTGTGTACGTGCTCAACAATAGATTGATGAAATTGATACAGATCGACTTCTCTGGGACTCTTATTTCGTCTCCGCGATCTCAAACAAGTTTAAAGCTGTCAAGCTGTATAAATAGAAATCGTTATATTTATTTAAACTTCTCTCCGAAAATCTGTAGAACATGCCTGCGTAACAAAAAGATTACTGATGATCGACTTCTTTACGATTCTTTATGAGAAATCTATACTCCTATCTATACTGGTAATACTCCTTCTAAAGGACCTAATCTTTATTGCCTACTCTACAAAAAGTGCAGTTAGTTTATGTCTTTTTATGTAAGCATCACGTAGCATAAAAGTTTGTTTTACGGTTATCAACATCACAGAAAAATCGACTTTACTTCCCTTTAACAGTCAAATAAAATGTCTTTTTGATGTTAAAACATTTAGGATATTGCAGTCGGATATGGCTTTTTTCCAACTTGGGAGAACTTGAAAAATGTATCTCCGAGTGGGGGAGATGAAACAGGGTTGTGCTAGAGAATAGGGAAGCCATTTCAAAACGACTCTCCTTCCCGTTTATCAATTTCATAGAAAAAAGGAGTCTACCAGTCTGCAGCTTATAATCAATATACCACGCGCTGATTTTATTAGAAGTATCTATTCATAACATATAATCATAATACATCCTAAATTACGACTGGAAGGGGCAATATACCAAGTGAACAATATTTAGATTCTCAACCTCTAATTAGAAAACTCAGTATGCGGAAAAAAAATTATCAAACAAAATTGGCTTCAGAAATTAATTATGATAGTAATCCTATAGAAAATAGTCTATCAAAAACTTACAAAACTAAAGAGAAAAGTATAAAATCTACCTGTTTACATTTTTACTCCATCGACTTAGTTGCCGCCATTTTATCAAGTGTAAACAAGAAATTCAAATCTGCTCAGTAAGTCTCCCTTTATGCCCTCTAAATGTGTAAGCAATTGATCACTATTGAGGGATATCAGACGCGAAGAATGGTATCCCAGACCACCATTTTTGTGAAGTATGTTTCTAAACACGGAGAGCGGTGAATCAGGAAGGGAGACATTTAAATTCTTTCAATACATTTCTTCTTTATCTTTGTATAAAATACCCGATATAAGAAATTTAAATCGAATTAGTTAAATGTCGTCTGCCTTTGGTCTTTTACATTATGATGTATTTACCTACATTGTCCACATTTAAAGGTGACATAGCCTTATATACTTCCGATTATTTTAAATGGTTAAAAACTCACTGCCTTACGTGCGGGGACTTTGGTTAACCTGTATCAACCTTGCAATAGAATTAATTCCTAAGTCAAATGGCAGGAATGATTGACTTTCCAAATTGCTGTCAAAAGGTCCTGAGAATTATTTTTTAAGATTGAATACCGGTAGTCCTGGGCCTCATTCTTAATTTGATAATGTTTCAGTTATATTACTGTGTGGTCCACGTAATTCAACACAATTTACATGAGTCTGACATGTATTAGCAGAACACACAAAATATTTTGTAAGCCTGGAGATTTATATGCACCCTGAAATTTATAACAGCAAAGAATATGAATCGTGAGCAGAGCAAAAACATGGACCTCTGGAAACACCATACGTGAGATCAGAGGTGCCTAGGGGAATAATCATCTCTGGGTCATACCCTGAGCACTATGCGTTGATCAAGTAGACGGAGTAATATGTAGCCAAATTTAGTATAGAAACTATAGGTACTGCGAACACCCAGCTCAGAAAATGACTAGCCTGGTTCCCTGGCTCATCCTTGCCTAGTGACGCGGAGTATGCAAAGCATAACAGGGGCAGGGAACCAGGCTAAGAAAATGACATACCCTCTCCCACTTCTCTCATAAGAGTATACTTGCAAAGTCCATGTGGGGAACCACAAATATACAGGAATTGCACATAGGCACTATGTAATAAAGATTCTGTGAAAGTCTTGTTAAATTTTATTCAGTAGTATAGGAGGAGTTGCGGATAAGATATGGGTACCACCAATATTATAGAAAGAATCGTAGTGTCCATGTTTTGCTAAGGGAATCTCCAAATATCTGTCCAATCGAACCAAAATACGAGATGCAAATGATAGTACAAGTATATAATAAATATTCTGTAAAAGTCTCATTAAATTTTATACAGTGGCTTAGGAGGTGTTGCGGATTAGAGATGGGTACCCCCAGTATTACTGGTATAGGATGAATGACAGTGTCCATGTTTTTCGATGGGAATGTCCCAAATATGTGTCCGATCAAAACTTAAAATAAGAGGTGCACAATGGCACTATATATGTAAGAAAGATTCTGTGAACGTCTCATAAAATTTTATTCAGTGGTATAGAAGTTGCGGATAAGAGACGGACACCTCAATATTACAGATTGAATGGCGGTGTCTATGTTTTGCTATGGGAAACCCCAAGTATTTTCCGATCAAAACTTAGAAGAAAAGTAGTTGCAAATCCCACTATGTAATAAAGATTTCGTTGAAGTTTCATTAAACTGCATTCGGTGGTGTGTGAGGATTTACAGATATTGGATGGCTATCTCCATGTGTAACGAACCAATGTACCAAGGGACACCACCATCTCTATGACCTAACAATTGATATAAAAGATTCCATACGAAATTTGATAAAGAAGGTCATTAACACGACCATATAATTTGCGAAATTCTGACATTAAATGAGGTTGTTGAAATCACTCTATCATCAACCTATTTGTTAGTAGCATATCTCTGTTTAAAAAATGATCGTTCTCAGAGACACGAGGTTTTGAAAATGCTAAAATTAAGACTTTTTGTAGATGAACAGTCTTAAATGTGTACTAAATACCATTTAGTATCAAATAATGGTACCCATATATAAGTCTAACTTGCATTTTTTGTCATTTTATTGGCTTTTTGATAAGCCCGATTTGTTTCTCTGTTCTCGTATTTTTTTCTTTTGCAATAAAACAGCTTTTTTTTTTACTTTCGATAGAAAAAAAATATTTATGTGTTCATTTCTTTGACAAATAAAGCCTGGTATTAAACGCCTTAGAGAAACTCTTTCTATAATTTATTACTAAGTAGATTTTTTAAAAGTTGAAAAATTGTCTTTTATTATATAAAGGTTCTGTAATTTGACATTTCATATACAAAGTAACATTTTTAATATACATTTACTGTAACATTGTTATATAAAAAATCAAAAGAATGGATAAAAGTGTTATTCCCCCTTGGATACATAAAATTAAGGTAAAAATTATACTTGACGAAAATATACCTAACACATCTGAATTAATTGTAATTTGACTTGTGTTATATAAAAGAATTGAATTGTTTCAGAAATATAGATAATGTATATCTAGATCCTCTCTCATATTTGAAAGAGAATCCTTATATGTTCACAAAAATATCATAAGAAATATTAGTACATGTTTATGATGACTGTGGACACTGTATTCCAGCAATCAAGTGTTGAAACATTTAAAATTTCAAAGGATCCTCTTATAACATGCCTTGGACCATTGGGAGAATAGGTATTCCTTGTTGGATTCCGTGGTTTATTTCAATGACGATGTATCTACTTTTTTATCTGAAGCTCTTGAAATTGGCGTTTTTTTCTTTAGCCCGTTCATGCCATCTCCCGTTACAATCTACAATCAACTATAAAGGAAAAATTTGGTACTCGGCGTTTCGTTCAAAAGGATGTTTGGTCGTATATTCATTTACTACAATTGGTATGGATAATAACTAACGCCTAGTTATGTGGATCTTGACAGGAGTTGGGATATTTTTATACATATTTTTACAATAAAAAAAAATCTAACAAATAATTAGATGAGTTTCAATGTTATTTGTGTCTCAGGAGCAACAACTGATGAACCGCCAAACATATACGGCAGGCCCTGCACTCACCCCTCACATCCAAAGTCCTGCTAAAGATGAAATTTAAGGCTCCCTTTAGTTGTAAGGTAAGTTGTCACTTGTCATACGAGTTTCCGTTCTGAGTTTTTAAGCTCTCCATAGTTGTAAGGTAAGTTGTCACTTGTCATACGAGTTTCCGTTCTGAGTTTTTAAGCTCTCCATAGTTGTAAGGTAAGTTGTCACTTGTCATACGAGTTTCCGTTCTGAGTTTTAAGCTCTCCATAGTTGTAAGGTAAGTTGTCACTTGTCATACGAGTTTCCGTTCTGAGTTTTTAGGCTCTATATAGTTGTAAGGTAAGTTGTCACTTGTCATACGAGTTTCCGTTCTGAGTTTTTAGGCTCTATATAGTTGTAAGGTAAGTTGTCACTTGTCATACGAGTTTCCGTTCTGAGTTTTTAGGCTCTATATAGTTGTAAGGTAAGTTGTCACTTGTCATACGAGTTTCCGTTCTGAGTTTTAGGCTCTATATAGTTGTAAGGTAAGTTGTCACTTGTCATACGAGTTTCCGTTCTGAGTTTTAGGCTCTATATAGTTGTAAAGTAAGTTGTCACTTGTCATACGAGTTTCCGTTCTGAGTTTTAGGCTCTATATAGTTGTAAGGTAAGTTGTCACTTGTCATACGAGTTTCCGTTCTGAGTTTTTAGGCTCTATATAGTTGTAAGGTAAGTTGTCACTTGTCATACGAGTTTCCGTTCTGAGTTTTTAGGCTCTATATAGTTGTAAGGTAAGTTGTCACTTGTCATACGAGTTTCCGTTCTGAGTTTTAGGCTCTATATAGTTGTAAGGTAAGTTGTCACTTGTCATACGAGTTTCCGTTCTGAGTTTTAGGCTCTATATAGTTGTAAAGTAAGTTGTCACTTGTCATACGAGTTTCCGTTCTGAGTTTTAGGCTCTATATAGTTGTAAGGTAAGTTGTCACTTGTCATACGAGTTTCCGTTCTGAGTTTTTAGGCTCTATATAGTTGTAAGGTAAGTTGTCACTTGTCATACGAGTTTCCGTTCTGAGTTTTTAGGCTCTATATAGTTGTAAGGTAAGTTGTCACTTGTCATACGAGTTTCCGTTCTGAGTTTTAGGCTCTATATAGTTGTAAGGTAAGTTGTCACTTGTCATACGAGTTTCCGTTCTGAGTTTTAGGCTCTATATAGTTGTAAGGTAAGTTGTCACTTGTCATACGAGTTTCCGTTCTGAGTTTTAGGCTCTATATAGTTGTAAGGTAAGTTGTCACTTGTCATACGAGTTTCCGTTCTGAGTTTTAGGCTCTATATAGTTGTAAGGTAAGTTGTCACTTGTCATACGAGTTTCCGTTCTGAGTTTTTAGGCTCTATATAGTTGTAAGGTAAGTTGTCACTTGTCATACGAGTTTCCGTTCTGAGTTTTTAGGCTCTCCATAGTTGTAAGGTAAGTTGTCACTTGTCATGTGAGTTTCCGTTCTGAGTTTTTAGGCTCTCCATAGTTGTAAGGTAAGTTGTCACTTGTCATACGAGTTTCCGTTCTGAGTTTTTAGGCTCTATATAGTTGTAAAGTAAGTTGTCACTTGTCATACGAGTTTCCGTTCTGAGTTTTTAGGCTCTATATAGTTGTAAGGTAAGTTGTCACTTGTCATACGAGTTTCCGTTCTGAGTTTTTAGGCTCTATATAGTTGTAAGGTAAGTTGTCACTTGTCATACGAGTTTCCGTTCTGAGTTTTTAGGCTCTATATAGTTGTAAGGTAAGTTGTCACTTGTCATACGAGTTTCCGTTCTGAGTTTTTAGGCTCTATATAGTTGTAAGGTAAGTTGTCACTTGTCATACGAGTTTCCGTTCTGAGTTTTTAGGCTCTATATAGTTGTAAGGTAAGTTGTCACTTGTCATACGAGTTTCCGTTCTGAGTTTTAGGCTCTATATAGTTGTAAGGTAAGTTGTCACTTGTCATACGAGTTTCCGTTCTGAGTTTTTAGGCTCTCCATAGTTGTAAGGTAAGTTGTCACTTGTCATGTGAGTTTCCGTTCTGAGTTTTTAGGCTCTCCATAGTTGTAAGGTAAGTTGTCACTTGTCATACGAGTTTCCGTTCTGAGTTTTTAGGCTCTCCATAGTTGTAAGGTAAGTTGTCACTTGTCATACGAGTTTCCGTTCTGAGTTTTTAGGCTCTATATAGTTGTAAGGTAAGTTGTCACTTGTCAT